TATATAGGATGTGTGCGTATTTTATTCAATGTTATTTTCACTTCAAAGCATTTAATAAATCAATTAGGGCAAAGAATTTTGGACTTCAAAACGAAAATAGCGTCAAGCAAAGCGCACTCATAATCATATTTTAGTGACCGACAAAGTAAAAAGCCATCTTGTCTATAAAATTAGTTTGTTTCATAAAGTTGAAAGACAGAGTATGTTATAGATTTTTTTCGTTAAAAATGATAATTTATTTATTAATTAAATGTTTTCAATCTAAAAAGAATCTTTTATTTATTTAAGCAGATTAGGCAGTCAAAAAATATCTTTTTTATTTTTCGAAACTGTGTTGTTTCCTGAGTAAAATGCCGTTTGATTTGGCAAAATTGTGGATTTAGTAGCCAAAAAAGTTGAGTGGCGCACGAACTCGTTTTCGCTCGAACGCAAGTAGTCGTAATCTGATAATAATTATTCTTATATAAATAATCCTAATCTTGAATATGAAATAATCGATTTTTCTCTTGTTTTTAATATGATTGCTTTGTTTGTTGTGTGTAAAACGTATGGTGAAAATACTATGTTACTGGAAATCATTAGATAAGGTATGTATCGAAAATCATATTTTAAAATCTTTCAAAACTTTAAACGTGTTTTTCTCCGTTTTTTATTTTCTTTTCGTTTTGCAGCGATAACTTAAATATAGATTCAAATCGACTTAAAAAAAATTGTGCATGTTCGCATTATGTATAATTTCAGACTGAACCTCTAAAAAATCTGTGCAAATTTTAGTTTTTGAGAAAAAAAAATCAAATAGCTTTTTTTCGACGAAAAACAAACTTTTAAAAAAAATCGCCATTTTATAGCCATCATTAATAATTGTGTTCTGATTTCTTTTTTACAGGTTCAGTGCAGAACCCGATGTATTTTGAAGAATATTTTACAAGGAGATTGCTGTATTTTTTTTTTATTTTACGTAAAAAATTGCTGCAAAACTTATTTAAAAATCGTTTTCGATCAACCATCTGCAGCGCCATTCGTAATGCATATTTCCAATTAAAAATTTTTTTTTTAATAGTTTATGATCTCGATAAATTTTGTCACGAAAACAAAGCTTCCTCATAGAGGAAGCTTTGTTTTCGTGACAAAATTTTTTTTGGAGTTTTCTATGCCAATGTGTTTAGAATGTTCCAAAACGTCGAAAACTCATATTCCTAAAAAATGTCTGTCTGTATGTATGTGTGTATGTATGTATATGTATGTATGTGTGTATGTGTGTGTGTATGTATGTATGTGTGTGTGTGTGTGTATGTGTGTGTGTATGTGTGTGTGTGTGTGTGTGTGTGTGTGTGTGTGTATGTATGTATGTATGTATGCAATATATTGTACAACCACTAACTTCCGCAATTTTTGAGATATCGGGCTAAATTTTCTTTACATGGATAGAGTATCATTCAAAGATGATTGGTATTGAATTTAGTGAGAATCGATAAAAAGGTTCATTTTTTATAAAATTTTTAATTTTTTTGAGAAATGTCTGTACACGCTGTAACTTTCAGAAAATTTGAGATATCGGATTAAATTTTTTTACATGAATAGAGTATTATTAAAGGATGTTTGAT